CATTTCCTGCTCCTATTATAAGAAACTGTACATCACCACATTAACTTCCACAGCTGTATCCTACCTGTAACTTTATATATTTATTCCCCTTAATGGGTTTTTTTCATACAAAAGCTCAACCCTCATTTGTATCTTCTGTTATTTTCCATTAATTTTCAATATAGGCTGATCATCTAATCTCCAATCTCACAATAAAGTCAGCTTTCTATAATTTTTGCCATAACCTTCATTGATCATGCTGCTTAATTTTCCATCAACACCAAGCTTTTTTGAGCCTTTCATCCACTTCATTTCTATTGAAAAGGACCCTGACTGCTAACTCAATTCAAGCCAGCATGTCAGCTATTATCTGAGCCAGAAACATGCAATGTGCAGAAAGGAATGCTAAACAAAAGGCAATGCCAAACAAGTGACCTCATTCCATGCCTGCTACCCTTGCCCTGGTCATGTCTGCTGCTTGCTGGCACAGGCAAATAAAACCTTTGGTCCTTCCTCTTGTTCTCACAACACTGCAGCCAAGGGCAGCCCAGCCCACACCAGAGCAAATATCTCTGCTGAGCAGGCAAGAAACCATGAGAGATGAGATTGAGGCGCCTCCACAGATCCTTTGAATCCTTCATTTTCCATCAGTGGAACCTGAGGGAACTGCGCTACAGCGCGCTCCAGCTCCGCAACAAAATGGTATCCAACCTCACTTGGGATCAAAGGTGACAAAGTGCCTTTGTCCCACTTATCAATAATAAGAGGAGGGACAAGAACCCCTGCTCAGTATTGGCACGCTGAGGCACAACCTGAGACACCCAGACCTTGTCCCAGTACAGACTCTGGGTCTTGCCACAGGCTCCTAAAACAATCCTCCAGTCTTCCCTCAAAGACCACCTCTGCTGTGCCAAAACCCACGGCAGCCACACTGCCCTCCTCAGCTACTCACCCACTCAATACTGTAAAAACTGGGAACAGCTCTCCTGTTATGCCAAACCCCATAGAAGCCAGTTAACCCTGGCAACAGAAGTCACACACTCTGGAGTAAATTTCTCCCCTTAAGGCTAGAAAAGGGCTAGACTGGCCAAAGTGGGTATGGATTCACTTTACACCACTGTTCCCCAGTAAAAAAGAAGGAAAGCAATACAAAGCAGGGGCATAATTGAAGTTCAGAAAAGACCTGACATTCAAAAACCACACTTCTGAAATGATATTTTCTTCAGACTAAATTTTCCCGAAATCCACTAGGGACTGACATTCAGACCCCATCTATTTTCTGCTTGTGGCTGGCTTATTTAGTGGCATATTCAGCATCTCCCCTTTCATACCCTGTCCTTTGGAAGGACTGAACCAGTTCACTGTTTACCACCTGAGAAAAGACAGGAGAGAGAGAAACTCAAGCAGATCTGGGGGTGGGAGGGGAAAGAAACATCCTTCCGTTTTCCATTAAAGTATGTTTTTTAAAAACAAGACTGTATTAGTGTGAGACAAAGAGCCTTCCAAAAAAAGTACACAAATATTTCTGTAACTGAATCGTTATTTGAATAATTACAAGAGTAATTATTCAAATATTCAGAATTATTGTGTAATTATTAACAATTACAGAAAGGGTTAGAAAGCAATCTTGTGTCACTCTAATTTACTGCTTGGAGAAGTAAACCCTTATCCTCTCCGATCTCTCTAGACAAGCAGAAATGGCACATGTAAACTTCTGCTCCTTCTTTTCTCATGTTAGGATGGTTAAAACGTTCAATCATTAATTATACTCATCACAGCTGGCTTTGTCACAAGTGATATATCTACTGACAGCCTAAGGAAAACACAAAACACAAAATCAAAGACGTGTTAACATGCAAAAAAAAACCTAAAAAAACAACAACAACAAAAAAAAAACCTGAGTGCCACAGAGGGCCAGATACTCCTATTGTCAAAGTCAATGAAGCCTGTGAGCATCTGAGGGGTGAGACATTCAAATCTCCAAGGATCAAGATTAAAAATGGTATTAGAACAAGCAGAGTATCTTGTTCTTCAGCAGGAGGTTTAATGCCTAAGATGGTGCCCTAGCAACTGATGCACACACAAAAGCATCAGGTAAGGTGGAAGAACTAAAGGGTAAAATGATAAGCAGGTAATGGACAATGAAGTAAAACAAGGAAATTAAAAATTATATTTTCCTTGCAAGCATTTAGCTACTGAAAGATCTCTGGAGGTGCTAACTCCTACTTCTCGACTTTTTGGCTAATTAATTTTTTCCCATTTTAAAAGCTTCATTTTAATTAGCTCCCAAGTTGAGCTGCCATGAAGAGGTTTTATTTTCATTCTCTTTTTCTATATGTAAAAAAGACTGACTTCAAAAGTACATACTCATTAAAAATAATTAGTGATTTAGATACCACTAAAATATATTCAAGGTTGCCGGAAAAGTAAGTTGTTGGGGTTTTGTCATAATTTAGTTGCTTAGTACCACAACAGAAAAAGAGTCATATATTTAAATATAAGAAACCTTCCAACTAGATTAAGTCTTGAAGTCACTAGTGTTTAAAGTCCTTTAGTCAGACAATGGACAGATGCTTACCACAGTTACCACAAAACACTTCATAATTGTCTTCATTAGAGCTTGGAATTTTTCATTCCATAAAATGCAGCCCAAAGAGGCATATGCAATACAATCAATACCACAGCAAAATGTGGAACTAGCATACCTGTCAATTTATTCCTCACATCTACATAGCTGTTTTAGCCTTCAATCAGGATTTTCAGTGTTATAAGTACAGAAGTAAGCCTTTAGGTCAATATGTATCTGTTACACATTCATCTGTCAACAAGCTGGCAATTAGTATAGATTAAAAATGAAGTCCATGAAATGCTATGTTGAATATTTGAATAAATAAATATTTGAATATTATGTAGTAGTTTTTAAAACTACTGATGCCTTTCATATAAGCCTTGCCTTGCAATATGAATGTTTTCACAAAGAGAAAATTAAACCAGCAAGACAGAAATTTCTATATTTTTCTTTTGTATCCCCTAACTAGTTGATTCTATTTTATTATTTTAACCAGAAAAAGCCCAAGAAGTAGTTTTCTATGTTTTGAACATTTCACTCATCAAGGAATAGAGCAGTCTGATTGAATTGAAGTGTATATCACGTAAAGCAGCCCATCAACACAAATACAGGTTTAACCAAATACAGGTTCAACTCAAAATTTACTAATGCCAGCAACATGTATGGGTGCAATGCTTTTGATTCTGGCGTGCAATGACACTGTTCTAGTTTACACAAATACATTATTTATTTATTTCTCTGTAACACAGAGCTTTCTTGCTGTTTTTGAAAGAGAAGCATGATAGGACATCCCTATCAAAATATTTAGGTTATCAGTTGATTCAATTCTGCTAAAAGTCTACACTTTTGCAACCAATTTACATTTAGCATTCATTTCTCATGCATGAGTTGACCCACTTACATATGCAGTAAATCCATGCCTTTGGGGATTTTTCTGGACTGCTTGCTTTATTTCCACCACACAACTCATTTTATTTTGTCAATACTGTGAGCAAGGTTACAGTCATCCTGTCAAATTTATTTATTTAAATTAGAATCAGAAAGACTATACTATTCCCTGTGGAATTTCATGGAAAACTTTTTGAAACTTTGAGATTACATACTTCTGCAATCAACTGATTTCATATGAAAGCACTAATACAAAAAAAAGCAATAGTTACAATACTTTCTTCTTTAAACTTATAAAATAGACTTCTGAAACCCTAGAAAAATATAATAAACCACAATAATAAATATCATATTATACTTGCTTTACAAAAGAGATAAAAAAGATTTTTTCTATGCAACCCTATAGAATAAAGCCAGATGGAATAAGATCATTAAGAAGTAGATATGTAGGCGTCACATCTGCTTGCTTTGACTATCAGAGATCCACTTAACCTAAAATATTTCCCCCTGCATCTCTGAGGATTCACATATGAGAAGCTTCATTTGAGGTTGCTTACCATCCTCACAGCAAGGCTGCTGAAAGGGGATTTTCCCCAGGCAGAAATTGTCCCAAGGTAACATGCCATTCAAGTCCAAATAGACTTGTGTGCAACAGAAAGGAACTTCCATTTTACGTAATTTGCGAAAAATGTGTTTCTCTCAAACATTTTAGCTTACCAGAACCTCAGTATAGATTTGCAGATTGTGTTTCAGTGGACTTACCCAAAGGCCTATCTGAATTTACACATCTAATGCTATTGTGGGTAGTATGACATATAATAAACAGCCCACAAACAGCATTATAAATCCTTATTTCTAATGGTAACAACTTTTCCAAATGCAGTTACGCCTCGGGCAGGGGTTTGTTTTCCACCTTCTCAAAGACAAAATGCTTTTGCTGTTTCTAGAGAAGGGTTATGCACCTTTCCACTTGTGTTACAAAAGCAGCTTTATAACATCACTGATAGACTCTAATGCTTCTCCTGCTTTGGACCAGGATGTTGACCTTTAGCAGGTGAGGAATGTCACCTCATTAGGGATATCTGTTTTACCACCCCCATGGAATATGGTCTATAACTGAATCATACATTGCTGAAAGCTGAACATCCACCTGCTCAACAGAAATTTAACCATAATTTAAGTCATCTAAATTATTCAGTTCCACCTGTACTGACAGTTTCACATAGAATTACTGTAATGACTATCTGACATTCCAAAAAGTATCCTTCAAGTTGGCATTCTGGGGTCTAAAAATACTGTTTCTTCCCACATGTTGGGAGCTGTTGTTATGTAAATCACAAGTATTAAGAAAGAGAGACCAGAAAGGACAATCTGAAAAAGTTATGGGAACATAAAGAGAAGTCAATGCCACCCCAGCTGAATCATGAACACACTGCTCTAGATTCTCAGCAATCTTTTCCTCCCCAACAAACAACTGTAAAATTGTTTAAAAACGACTGTGCCTTCCTTTACTTCTAATAGGAGGCTGCACAGAGCATAAGGGTTTACTCTAGGTACTACTTACTGTATTAGCATGAATAATGTCTGTGCTTTAGTTCTTCATTTAAATAAGGACCCCATATCCATATCCTCCATACAGGAGGATTCCAATACCTCCTTATTTCTTGGACAACTCTGAAACAATGCAAATGAATACAGTTAAAGAAGTAAGAAAGAAGCTTTGATGAAAACTCCACAAAATTGTTACAGGGCTTTTTTACCACATTTTATGGTGTGCGGAGTACAAGACATACAGTAAATAAACAGTAAATGAAAGAAAATATTAGAAAGCTGAATACTTGATAACTATTGCTCAACACAGAGATCAGAGCAAAAGGACGTGATGAAGCAGCATGCCACTAAATATCTTCAGAACTTTTCCTGAAAGTATATGTAAAGAATTCATATACATAGGAACTAATTTAATGCTGTCTCTAATTTTGCATATTTTGATAATGATTAGTAAAGAAATATTTTTAAGTAGAATACACCTTTTGGTTTCACATGAATTCTCAAAGCTTTCTATCTTCTCAGTTAACACGAGTTCTATCTAAAATATTAATTACATTTCCTTAGATTAATTATTTCTTAAGAATGTGTTCAGGCATTTTTAAAATTTCTGAAAGCTTAAAAATATAAAGCCTATGTAAAAATCTGCAAAAATACTCATGGTCATTAAAAATCAATGTAATTCTTTTGCTAAGTAATTTCTAAATAATTTATTAGGACTTTACACTTCAAGGCAGAATGATTTCTAAAAATCAGAAGTCAAATTTCAACACAGAACTATTAGAAAGTCAAAGGACTTCTCAGAATTTCCATTTCTACGTATCTACACAAAACAGGCTTAGTTCAATCCACAGAAAGAACAAGGTTGGATGTGACTCTGTGCATGTATGTTCACTACACAGGAGCACACCAGGAGCTCCACCTTCTTGGAGAGGTACACTCATGTTAGCAATAGGAATGACACATTCAACCTTGTTTTCAGACAGAAAAAATGCTGTCGAACTCAACTGATAGATGCTTAATCACATGAGTTATGTGCAGATATTTGAAGTGCAGCTGTGTGGAATTAAGCCTACAGCATACCAAAAAATGAATACCTCTTGGAGTTGCAGTTTGTGCTAAACTGTCAGAAGTACCAAGGGCAGCAGAAGGCAACTGGTACCAAGGTGCATCTGGCTGACCACACCTGACATGGACATGCAGCACCAGGGCACTGCTCAACAAGTGCTACTCCATCTATGTTAGTCGACACAATTGTCATACATAAATAAATGCTTATTTTCCCAATGAAACAATAGTAAGATAAAATCACGCTTAGGAATATAAGGGCTTAGGAATAAAGTATTAATTACTTCAGAAGCAGGAAAACCCCAGCACTGCTTAGAACAGCATAAACTCGTTTTGCACACGATTTAAAATGCTTGCTCAGTCTCTTCATTGATGTGTCAGGGTTAGTTTTGTGAAATGCAGACATTGATGCTGCTGTTAATTTTTCTTTTTTCTTATTCTTCTCCTTCACTTGAATTCAATGGAAGGAAAAAGCCCTTAGAGTCAAGTATCTGAAGGCTTTGTGCTGGGAATCCTACAAGTGGAGCTCTGGGCCACGTTGTTAACATCTTCTCCTGCCAATTTTCTCTACAATCTGTTTTGGCAATTTAAGAGATCATTTTATGTTTGAGCAAGTAAACAGACTGAACAACTCTGCCAATAGCTTCCAAATAGGGAGCCATGGTTCAGTGTCTGTTAGGGACAGTTTCTAATTTCAGATGTGCAGATGTGCACAACTACAGTAGCAATGTAGTTTGTGTCCTCCTTTAGTTGCTACTGAAAATGTATTTTTATCACATCTGAGGTAGTGCCCAATTTCTTATCATTTATGTCTTTGTCCAGATAGCAGGTGCTCAGTTGATTCAAATTACAGGGGAATTCCTGTCCTTCTCTGCATCCCCTGAAGCTGTATAAATTTAACTGGACATGGAAAGCAACCCTTGATAATTAAAAGGCCCAAACAATTAATCATGTTTCATTAAAGACATTTAAAGAAAATTATACACAGTTTTGCTCATTGGAACCCACACAGAAAACTTCCAAGAACGCTACAAGATCTTCATGCACTCTCTGCATCCAATAAAGGCTTCACTACCTTCAGTGAGGAGTTCAACTCCTGATACTTGGGAAACCCCTTGCTCACCCCATAGAGGGGTGGTTCAGTGAACTCTTCATTGACTCTACTGTCTTTCCTAAGTTCTTCACCAAAATAGGATACCTTGGAAATGGGTTTTTAAAAGCAGATTTAGTCTGTTTTCTTATTTTCCTTCTTTGGATTAAGGTACCGTTTTCACTTCAGGTACAACCCAAACCTACTGGAAAATGAGTCACTGCATGTCTTCGTTCTGTTGTGTGTCCAAGAGAAGAAGGGCACAAATGTGTGGTGCTTCTTGCTCTTACATGATTCATGTTCATAAGAGCATTAATGCCCAAGTGAGGAATGCTTTTACATGGGCTCTTAATGCAATGAGCACAAGCACTGTGAAAGCTTCCATGCATCCTTCCAGCCATACAACCAAGCCAGCAACCTCTACTATCCAAGAACTGGCCTTTATCTTAATGAAAGCTTCTCACTCCATCAATTTGTATGGACACCTGTTTTCTTTTATACTTTGCAGACATTTACCAGAAACATATTTAAGAAAGAGCAACTTATTTCACATAGGATAAAACATGCTTCAAGTCATATATCTAGACATAAAAGTGCAGTGGCAGTAAGCTGCAGCTCATTGCTGCAGACTGCTGAAAGTGTTCCATTTCCCCAAAGAAAATATTACTAGATTGAGTTTCTACTCCCTCATTTAGCCCTGTGTCATGATAGACCAATAGTTTTTTGCCATCATCTTTATTTATGCTGTTCCTTTTGCCACCTTAACCTTTTCCTTGCAAAACCAGTTTGCAGCTAGCTTAATTGCAAAATCACCTATAAAAATACATGGGGCTGGGGTTTTTTTTCATTTTGAGAATATTTGCATTCATTCTGAAAATCTTCTCGAAGTTCAAAATGGACAAAAAATACTACAAGATCCTTTGACAAAATGTACACATTTCTCTGCGTGAACAACATATTTTTTTGTGTATTGACTACATATATTCAACGCCAAAATACGTTGTATATCTGCAGAATTAGGCTCTAAATGCTAAAAAATCATAAGATTAAATTTCATTCTTATCTAAGTTGAATTCTGGTCCTGATACCTCCATAAGAGCCATAAAATAAAGTCCTCAAGTTTGGTCTAAATCTACAGAGGAAGGATTGCTGGTGGCAAAATAACAACCAAAATTCAACCCCCTTTATCTACCCACCATCCATCCACTCCCCTCATGATTTTTTCCCCTTACAAGGTTTATATTCACAGTACAAGAGATTCTTTAAAAAGTCAGAGTACTGTGCTAATATCCATATGCTGCCAAACTTCATATCCGGACAAAAAGGACAATCTTTTAAAAATATTTATGCTATTTAACCTTTATTATTACAAAACTTATTTTGCTATTTATTTTCATCAAGGATATCTACACAATTAACTGTTCTCACTTACCCCTTCAATGAAGTAGTTACAATTTTGGTTCAAATAGGCTCTTTGAGAAGTTTCTAGTACTTCAAGGTGAAATCAAAACTAAACTGAAAATTAAATAGATATATTAGTATTCTTCCATTTTTCTGTATAGGAAAATTAAAATTATTTCAGAATTAGTAAAGTGCTTACCTTTCAGTGTCTTGAAACCTATATTAGATCCTTAGTCCATGATGTATACTGCTTATCTGGCAAATACAGAAACTACTCTGTGTGGAAGGCATTTCTATAATACAGCAGCTTTCTAATTAAATTGGAGTTGTGGCCTATGCAGAATTATATTTCTAGGATATAATGCAATAAATTAATTATTTCAGTGTAAACAGAAATGAAATGCAACTTCTTTTATCATGCATTTTTTTTAATTCCATTTCACCCTTCAAGTCTAATTATTTCTAATAAGGTCCCTGACTGGGAATCTCTGTCAACTACATACATAAAGAAAACAACTCTCTATTGTCAAGACTGGATAGATCAAACCTATATTGTTAAGAACTGGATGGTTAGAAATGAAGAGAAAGTAGTCATATATGCAATGAACAAGGGGGAAACCTGAAACAAAACCACTTTTCCCATTTTAAAAAGCTATTTCTGGATCTGAAAAGGCAGGCAAGTATCTTTGACTCAGGAACCAGATAGTATCATAAATCATGGAACTAGATCTTCCACGAGGACAGAAACTCCCTTGATCCACTCAAAAGTAGAGATGGGAAGAAAGCTCTTTCCCATGTCACAAAACTACTTGTTTGTTTTCATTATCTCCTTTTCCCACAACAGAAAACCCAGTGTGCTTTGAACAAGAGAGATAAGAGCACGCAAGTGAGCTGCATCATACTATTCTGTCATCTGATGTTGAGGGTACTGGGCTTGGGAGGTCTGAATGACTTTCTTGGCAGGCCAATATCCCAAAGTGAGCACTGCAGGCCTGCTGCAGGGCACTCCTCTCACTCTCTCCTTCGAGAGCAGACCCGTGCGAGGGATTAAGTATTCACCAGAGCATTGCTCGTTTCATCTCCTTGATGCGTTCCAGAGCCACCCCACACAAAGGAATCACTCTTGCTTGAGGAAGCTATGTAGGTCGTGAGAGGATCTAATTTAAAGTTCCTGGTCTGAATAAAAAAATGCAGCTGATTAAAACCAGGGAGTCGCTGAAGTTTCCCAGATCCCAAATGGAAGTCTTAATGGCCATGCTTCTCGCCGCTCTGAAGAATACATTTTTCTCTCTTACAAGCCAGTAATTTCAGTTAGCCCCAGTATGAACATAAGAGATGAGCTTTTGTTCTCATCTTGTCTACATACAGGAGCAGTTGCATGGCTCTTAAATTAACTGTCGTCTCCATTGGCCAAGGCTCCAGGAAATGAGCCCACATTTTTCATCTCAAAGACTGGCTCTGGACATCAAAATCTTAACTAGTGAATGCTTTGAAAAGAATAGTAAACCTCCATTGCTGTGAAAAACAAGTATTTTTCAGTGACTTTTTCTTCAATAATATCCCAGCCTGAAAAATAAGTTTTTTCTTTCAAGTAAATAAATCCCATTATTTTCTTCTGATCATACTTACACTGGGTGTCTCTGATGCCTTGCTGTTATTTTATTACTACAGAGAATGATTCAAAAACATTTTCACAAAATAATCCATAGGGACGAGTTCTTGCAGCAGAAGAATAATCAGAAGGGAAGCCAAGACAAGTGAATAGTATTGATTCTGCATTTTTTCTAGTTCACACTAGTTCTTACCTATCTTATACATATCAGAACTTGCACTGCGTATCACTCAATATTCCATCATGCAGTGAGTTAAACATGCTACAAGAGAATGCAGTACAAATAAATAACTTTCTTAGCAAAAACATAAGGAAAAGTCCCATTTTTAAAAATCCCATTCCTGTAAGCTAATTAAATATGTTAGGTTTTGCTATTTGCCATTTCTTTGCCATTCTGCAGAGCATTGTCTTGCATGTCTTTTCTTTTAAAACCCAGCATCAAAATTTTATCTGCTTCTAGAAAATGCCATCTTGTTTGTTATGCTAATTTTGACAGCTCCTGCTAAAAAAGAGACAAAACTTTTTAATTTACATAATCTATATACTTTATATAAATAAAAAGTAAATTTAAAGTTCCAAAAGTATTCTTACTTGATAACAGATCTATTAAAAGAGCAAAAAGTGTCAAATAATTTTAATAAAGAAAATACTCTGAGCATACTAGCTGAAAGTTGGAGAGGTGAACACACATTGCCAATGTGCTGTACAAGTCCGTGGTATACAGTTGCACACATTTCAAAATCTGACATACACAAATCAATCACCAAAATCAGATTGTTCACTCACACAGACTTCATTGAAAACACCAACAAACACACCTTTTCTTAGACACACTATTTCTCCATCTACAATCACTTTAGGTTGCAGTCACATACATTACTGATTTGTTCCTGAGTCCTTTTCAGTCTTTGTAACTCGGGCGTATCGGTCACAATACTGAACCCTCTTCCTTTGCTTTCTTCAAAGTCTCTTTTGTATTTTACCTACAGAATAGAAAATACAGAAGAACAGGGTTGTTTTCATCATCCACATTGTGCCCCTAGCAATTTACCTTTTTTTTTTTTTTAGTGTAAATAAAGCACTCGTGAAAGGCTTTCAGCCTTTAAAGGAGAAGCCTGCCTTTATCCACTAACTGAGATAGGGAGTAACTGGGCAGAATTTCCCAGTGTCCAAGCAACTGCCTCCTCCAGGGGTGCCATGGGCTCACTTCTACAAACACTGCATCCGTGGAATTACCACTCTCTGTGGTCAGTTCATCCTCAAACCAGTTGCCACCGAACTACAGCACTTATTCTTACACAAAGAAAAATACCTATAGCTAAATCTGGAGGTCTTCTAATACACAACTTCACATTTCATCCTCTATTCATGATTACTCTACCAGTCTCTTTCCCAGCTGAAACATAAATTACACATTAAAAAAATACTGCATGAAAAGAGTATTTAGAATATCATGAAGTCAAACCTTTGTAAGTTATGGAATGGCTGCCTGTACAAGCTTAATTTGTCCCTCTTGCACATATGCATTTGGATATTGTCTTTAATGGGGTATTCATATATTATCCTTTGACAAGGCCCCCTGCTTTACTGTGTACACAGCAGAGATAGTTCCATATGTGGTTGTGTCCTTTTTTTGGCCCAGACTACCCAAATCCTACCATCAAGGTAGGAGCATTAGTTTCCTCAGAAGCTTTTATATAGCTCTCATCACAGCCATTAATCAATCTTCATAATGCACCCTGGAAAGTGGGAATGGCAATATCCACACTACTAGGACAACATGCAAACTGAGGTAAAATAAGCGTAATTTCCAAAAACTGTTAGGAATCAGTGTTCACTCTCTGATTCCTAACAGTTGAATATGTTCAAATTGTAGGCTTGGGTTACCTCTACAAATACTCAGTATTTCTACAAATCAGTCTTGGGGTACCCAATCTCAACATAAAGAAACAACATGAAATCTTCAAAATCTTAAGTCACTGTTGAGCAACAGACAAAACTGTGCATCAATGACAGAGTCAGGACCCACATCTCCACGGATGCATCCAGCTACTTCACCCATAACAACTTCTTTTTACTTCCTATACCCACTGCTTTACTTACTACACACATCCAGATTTTGCAACACCTGGTAGAGCAGTAGTACAGACAAAGCAGGATTCTCCTTCACACAGCTGATAACCAGGAAACACCCAGTGCATGCACCAAATTCAAGGCTGGCTTAGGCTTATGTCACAAACAAGCACTTAATGTTACAATGGCAATGTACAGGTAGAAATACCTCTAAATCACAAAAGTTAAGTTTGACAAAGCTATAGAAGATAGTTTGTCCTCCCCATCCTAAACCTCAATCAGTATGCCAATAAGTTCTGGTTTTTCTTTAATATAGCTCACATATAAGCCCATCAAACAAATCCTTGAGATACGGCAGCAATGACCACATCAACCAACTACCATTTTTCCTGTGTTCTAGATTTAGAGCTGGCTGTGAATTTCACACAAGTCTAATATTTTCATGCCACCCTGAGACAAAGGAAACAGACCCTTCCACTCGGGCTTTTGAGCAAACTATGGGCTGATTGGCCCACACCTTTCTGTTAATTTCCCCCAGGTTCAACCCCTCTGCAACTTTCCTTCCATTTGACCACCATATTTCAGGTATCACTTTGTCTCATATTGAGTTTCTAAACTAGTCTAGTCCTCTCTTCACAGCTTCTTGTTAAATCCCTTTACCCAAGGCACTCCAATATTCCTTGCCAATTGTCTCCCTTCTACCAAATGGCTCTCCATCTTCACACTGACTCTCAGGCTTCCTTAAACAATACTGGGTGGACATGCTATTCCAGGACTGTCTGGTGCCAGGAAAGACATCTTAGGAGTATCTCTGAACTTTCTATATTAGAAGTCATACAAAACACATTGGACAGACTTCCATGGCCAAGGACACATGACTAGCATAAAAGACTCTTTCATCTCAGCAAGCTTCAACTCCTTAGGCCTAAATGCTAAGACAACTGAGCTGTTCAACTCAGTTGAACTCAATTGCACAAAACAACAACATGTCAATAATTCCAAGTAAGGGAATAGACTCAGCCTTGGAAACTGCTGAGTATTTTGCACAAAAATTTCAAATTTGGCCTGAAGCAGGCAGCGGACATGGAAACGTTCAGCATTACTGTTTGAAGTTTACCAGAATTATGAGCAAGTGAACACATCTTAGAAATGGGTTCAGCCCTGCCTAAAAGAGAGATTACCTATTGTTAGAAAGAGCACTTCCTGCTATTAGTTCCAAATGTACTAGCCATTAACTACAAACGACCTTTATTCACCTTACAAAGGAACAGAAGAAGAGAGGGAGGGAACTAGATAGTCTTAATATTATTTTAATCCCTCAGCCAGATAAAAAGGGTTCCTATTGTCTATTAATAAATCACTTCACATGAATAAGGTTAACTACAGTTCCCAGAGCAGCTACTTTGAAACCATTAAAAAAGTAAATTATTTAAAATATTAGCAGAGTTAATACATGCATTATTGGATTTTGCTACCTAACTTCAAAATGCAGGTTTGAGTTATAAAAATCACAAAGTAATGTAATGTCTCATAAAGAACAAAGCTCTGTGAAATGTGGCCCACTAAAACTCCTAGTTAGTATAAGTTCAAAAGAAAAAATACCTCAGTTTCCAGAAAATGTTAAATAATAAAGATGCCATCAGTCATTTAGAACCGAAAAGAATATTCTGTATGGGAGCTGCAAACATGACTACAACAAATTATTTAACTGCACACCAGGGCTGTCTGGGATAGAGTTAACTTTCTTGATAATAGCCATAATAGTGCTGTGTTTTGTATTTGTACCCAGAACAGAGCTGATAACACACCAGTGTTTGGCTATTGCTGAGCAGTGCTTGCACAGCATCATCCCCAACATCGTCTCTGTAGCCTGGGGGTGCATGAGGGCTTGGGAGGTGACACAGCCAGGACAGCTGACCCAAACTGACCAAAGGGATACTCCATATCTTAAAGCATCATGCTCAACAAAAGGAAAAGGGGAGAGGGGACATGAGCAATTAAGGCAGTCTTCTGAAGCAACCACTACATGTACCAAAGCCCTGCTTCCAGGAAGTGGCTGGACATTGCCTGCTGATGGCAAGTAGAGAATAAACCTTTATTTTGCTTTGTTTCTGAGTGCAGTCCTTGCATTTTTCCCAAAAGCCTTGACACATAAGGGGGTTTGGGTTTTTTTTGTATTTTTCCCCTTTGTCCTGCTGAGGAGAGGGAGTGAGAGAGAAGCCTGGCGAGCACCTGGCAGCCAGCCAAGGTCAACCCATCACAAACTGAAACCCTCAAAATTTAGTTTTTAAATGGAAATGTGTAATCCCTAATGACTGAATCGTAAATTCAGTCATTTCCTACAAAGATGATTTTTAGTAACTCCTCACCAAAATCCCAGCCAGTGTCTCATAATGCTTCTCACTGGCTCCAAAATGCAGCCTCACAGATGCAGAGCACCCTCAGTCGTGTCTGCCCTGAAAAATTGATCTCATGAGAGACAATGTGTGGCATAAACATTAGAAATTAAACTGCAATAAATCACCATAAATGAAAATGTTTTAAGTGAAAATACCTGATGAGAAGTAATTCTGCACAGACCCACAGTGAAAGGACTAAGTAATCCAACAGATCGTTCACAAATCAAACTTCTCAGATTTGTGACATCAGCAAGAGATCTTTGAGAGACCCAAAGACAGGAATGTGTAAATCTACTCTCGAGGTCAGCATGAAGCAGGACATGAAGCATGACCAGAGGGTCCACCTTACTCTGAAGGACAGAGGGTCCATCTTACTCTCTACATAAAATATTATCCTGGAGAAAATATTGCTCATAATTTTTTGCAGGTACACTTGGCACTTGACAGCAAAGCCACCTATTAGGATAACAAGATTAATTTTTCCTGAGAAAAATACTCTGAAAATATAAATGGAGCATAAAAGATTGATTGTACTCCTGGGGGTTTTGGCACCTACCCATAGTCCAGCCTCATTTACAATACCAAAAGCACATATCAGTTGAACAAACACCATAGGAGTCCAAAAACACCAAAGAAGAAATATCAGAGAAAGAATTCACCATGGTGGATTATCATGCTCTTCTCATCACTGAAGAGCTGTGAATAATGCTGACCTCAGAAACTATTAATTCCATCTCCACCTCAAAAAGATACTCAGCCACTACAGAGCAAATATTAATTCCCCTAAAGCTATGGCAATATTAAAGCCAGTTTCCTGAACAGTCCCTTCTTCACTTTCCCATACAGACTAGGTAAATGTGGAATTCAGTCTCCTCCCTTATCTGATACATGGCATAGCCCCACAGACTGTGGCATCATCATGTCTCATGTCCAGCAAGGAAGGAATATGAAGGCAGAATGAGAGGATGGGACCCCTCACACCCACATTTGCCCTGACAGGAATGTTCATAGTCTTTACCACACCCTGAATATGTACGAATTTGTTTCAGTATGCTGTGTTTGAGGCTTGCCCAGAGCCATCTGCTCCTTCTGTGCCCAGCACACACAACTACTTCCCAAAGGTCACCATCTGCTAAGACACTGGTTTTTACAGACTGGCAAGAAATCCTCTCTCACAGTACAAGTCCTAGAGGCACATCTTGGCAAAGATGCCTTTGTTTGGCTCTGCTTCTTCCATAGACCACATAGACTGTTGATTTTGCCTCAATTTATCTTACTTCTTACAAAATTAATGGCAAGACAGAGACAAAATTTAGTCTGTAAATTAGGTTTTTATGAACATGACTAAAATAAATGCTTACAGGTAAATCAAATGTAAAGAATAATTCTAGACTAAATTCAGTAAGACTTTTTTAGTTGACTAATCCTTCTTAGGGAGGATCTCAGACACTGCCCTATCTGACAAAGTCAGGTTTCAGTCTTC